CCCCCCCCTTTTTTTTTTTTCCCCTCTCTAAGAGGTTTGACACATCAAACCTCGGTCTGTAAAGTGAAGCCGAAGAGTCTCCCCTTTTGTTTTGTAAGTTTCTGTAAAGTGTCTCTGAACTCGTGAGTTTTGTCTGTGCTTTTTATATCTCCCCAGCTCTGTCGGCTTTTATGAAAATGAGCAGTATTGAAAGCTTTTCCATCCCGCTAGCTGTGAGCCTCACATAAATGATGTAAATGGCTAGAAGGGTTTTTTTTCAAGTGAACTGTGTAGATCTGTGAAAATAATATCAGGGTTTTCCGTCAGAATGAGCTTAGCACTGTACTGAGGCGTAGCATAATCTGACCCGACACCTCCGACCATCTGCGCTATCTATCTGCCTTCTGATTTACCAAATCTTCACAAGCAAAAGACGAATTGTACTTGATACTAAAGAAAAGACGGCGAGCCCCAGTCCAGCTCCATTTCGGCCGAGAAATGATTGGAGAAAATGTAAATCTGTTTAATTTCAGTCCACGGGCAACTAGGAAAGAAGCGTTCTTAAAGAAGGAAACAAAACAAAACAAAACAAAACAAAAAGGAGGGGGAAAGAGACAACAAGATATCAAATTAAGAAGGAATTTCTTTGACAAGCCTTCTAAAAAAAAATAAAATGCATTGCAAAGAGCAGAGAAGATAACATATTGAGCTTAACTCAAGATATATGGTGCCTTTCCGAGCATGATCCCTAATGTTCCCGCGAAGAAATTGCCACTGAGCATGTAGATGTAGAATAAAGAGTGGCTTGATTCTTGCCCCCTCCCCTCTCCAGAAAAAAAAAAAAACACGGTATCCTCACAGCTCGGAAAGTGATTCCATCCCTGCCCCGGGACGCTGGGGGTTGCCCCTCTCCCCCGACGGGGCAGCCGGACTCTTCCCTGACCCCCAGCCCCGCCGTCGGGGCTCGGGGAGGGGGATGAAACCCGCTGGGAATGATTACCGCTAGGTGATCAATATTTCAAAAGATTCCTGAAATCTGCTCTAAGTCGCTATCCTGACCTACAAATGACTTCTCACTCCCCGCGACTGTTCTCGGCGTCTGTTCAGGACCACTCGACCGAAAACAATACGGTTTTAAATGTAAAAAATAATAAAAAAAAAAATTAAAAATTTAAATAATGAAGTAATAAATTAAATTATAGAGCTTTAATTCAACAGAGAAGGGCGCTGTGCTCTCCGCAGGTAATTCCTCGTCTTAACAGAGATGGGAAGCCACCTATAGGGGGAAAGGGGAGAGTTATTCCCTAAATCTTGGTTCTCCTTGCGGTCCTCCAGCTG